GCGCGCAAAATGACCTTCGTTGGGCAAATCTACATAACATGTCTACTGACCCTAAAAACATTTCACCTTAGTCGGATGTATAGTTTACGAGATCATTCCCGGACAAAAAAGTACCCAGGAAGAAGAAGAAAAAGAAAAATAATAATAATAAGAAACAATATAAAACAATATGTTCCCCAACTTCGTTTGGGGAACATAATAATAATAACTAGGGCTAATTGTAACGGGGACCGTTACATATGTTCCCCAAACGCTCCCCAACTCCCTTTTGGTGCCATATTTCCTTAAACTCTATCAAATAAGACATACTTTGTGCAATTCAGACTTAAACAATGTTTTCCCAGAAGACTACGAAATATATTTAAATTTTAGCATTACATGCGAGCTCATGTGAATGCATGTGGGTAATGATCATATCATCTATTTTACACTATGTATATATATTCAAATAGACTTAATATCAAAGCATTAAATCCAGAAGTATTAAAAAATACAGTTATTCAAGCATATTTTTAATTTACTCATTTCACGTTACAAGCATGTGCATGATGACCATACCTTCTTGTAGGGGTCCATTATGTCTATCAATATTCTAAATACCATCCTATTTCGTTGAAAACCAAGGGAATAATAACCATTTAAAGTTTAAGCCAATCAGATTTCAGTGCACGTGCATGCTTGTGATTTAATGACAATTGTTATATATCATATTGTAGGACATCCTATTGTATGCTTATGTTTCAAATTTCGTAGCATTTCGTCAAAGAACGGAAAAGATATTGAGATTTTTGTTTCAGCCAATCAGAGTGAAGAACACGTGCACGCACGTGCATGACGACCATACCATCTTGTTGGAGTCTATTATGACTGTCTATGTTCTAAATCCCATCCTGTTTGGTTGAAAAACAAGGGAGTTATAGCCATTTAAAGTTTAAGCCAATCAGATTGCAGCGCACGTGCATGCGCATGTTTTCACGACAACTGTTATATATCATATTGTAGGACATTCTAATGCATGACTATGTGTAAAATTTCAAAGCATTTCGTCAAAAATTAAAAAAGATATTGCGATTTTTGTTTCAGCCAATCACAGCAAAGCACAAGTGTACGCATGTGCATGACGACTTCACCGCCTTGTAGGAGTCCATTATGTCTGTCTATGTTCTAAATCCCATACTGTTTGGTTGAAAAACAAAGGAGTTATAGCCATTTAAAGTTTAAGCCAATCAGATTGCAGTGCACGTGCATGCGCGTGCTTACATGACAATTGTTATATATCATATTGTAGTACATCCTAAAGTATGCCTATGTTTTAAATTTCATAGCATTTCGTCAAAAAACAGAAAAGATATTGAGCTTTTTGTTTCAGCCAATCAGAGCGAAGCGCACGTGCATGCGCGTGAGTTCGTGCAAATTTGACAGTGTCACATTATCTACAGTATTAATGTATCTTTATATAATGAGTTTCAAATCATTTCATCAAAAAATGTAAATGTAATAGCTATATTAATTATATCAGTCAATTCACTCATTTCACGCGCACGCACGTGCATGCGTATGCGCGCAAAATAACCTTCGTGTTGCACACCTACACTACACACCTATTAACCCTAAAAAGGTTTTAGCTCAATTGGGTGAGCAGTTTTTCAAAAACACTTCTACATTTCAAAAAGTCACACGGAGAACAAAGAAGAAAAAAAAGAATAATAATAATAATAATAATAATAATAAGAAACCGAGTAAAAACAATATGTTCCCAAACTCCGTTTGGGGAACATAATAACGCATTCTTTTCCCATTTATGCTTAAAATTCGTCTCATCATAGCAAAGAGGAGACGAAAAAAAAGCTGTCAATAGCCTATAACCATTTCCACAAGTACAAAATGATTGTCAATTTGCATTGATTTTTAGAAATGTTCTAGGACAGTTACCAAACATTAGATTATTTGAATTAATGATGATTTAGGATATTTCTCGTAAATTCAGCAGTCACGCTAGGACCTATGAGAAATAAGTTGATTTGGAGGAAAACTGTGGCTATACTCCTAGCCGTCTATCGGGAGACGGCGATCGTGACTGATCTGGGATTCGGTCATAATAATGATGTATCCCCCGTGTGTCTCTGGATGATTTGGATTTATTTTCCTTTTTAGAAGCCAGACACGTCACATCTGTGACACAAACATTCAATTCTAGCGGAAAATGACTTGTCTTAAGGACGTACGCAACGTACATGTGTATCTAACATATTGATAATTTTCCAGGCTATTTTAATTTAAAAATTATACATGTAATATCATTAGATGTTCGTAAACAAAAAGTCGGCAAGCATTGCCTGGGGTTTACAAAAGAAATCAAAAGAAAATAAATTCTTGTAATATTGAAAGAAATAATAAAATACTAAACACATATTCTTGATTTTTTAAAATTCCAAATCTGTTTTAGAAGAGGGGTACAGCATGTATAGAAATTAAAAGGGTAGCATACAAGTCCTTCCAATAAGTACTGGACCTCTTCAACTCCAAGGAAAAGGACAATGAAATTCAAACTACGTTGCGCATGTCCTTAAATTAAAATATCTGTTATTAACATTTTTAACCTATGCTATCCTATGCCAACTTTCAGTGGGGGTCTTATTTTTTTAATTCATAGATTCATCGATCAAAAATTAATGAAAATATTAGATATTAAATTTAAACAAAATTATAACATAACTAATGTGACATTTTCCACAGGGGCCGGTAACATACTGTTTTTGATTTTAGGTAATCACTATAATTATATATACAAAAAAGGAAAGGAAAACAACGTCAGCCCGAATTACACAGGATTGATCTCGGAAATATTTCGTATTTCACAGAAAAAAGAATGTAGCCAATTAAATTATAACTAGAAATCATACTACAATAAATATTCTTTAATAAAACAGAAACCTCGTGACTTTTTATAGCGTTTAAGTTGGGTAATACTAACTCGATATCCCGTTGTGCGAGTCGATGTAAATTAAGTACTCCACAAAAACGAAGCAAAAATAGCACAATATATACAGTTTTTAAGTCTTTCCGGAGATGGAAAACACAAAGTAAAGATCCAGCGTTCACTAAAATCATCTTTTTCGTTTGTTAATTGCAGTTAAAAGGTACAATATCTCCGATTTGAATAAATACGGTAGCTTTTTTTCGTTCACAGAGAGGCTCGAACCCAGAACAGACGACATTTTTGGAAAAACCCATAATTTAAAAGGCGGAGCGTAATATCATTAGATGTTCTAGAAAAGCACCATTGACCAATCACATCTCGCGTTAAATATTGGATGCAATGTTTAGCGAATTTAGTGGACGACTTAAACTACATCACTTGCATGACAGGATATCGGATCTGCAACACACGACTTACTCGATTCTTAAATGACCGCGATGGTATTTTTTATTAAAGAGTGATTATTAAAGAATGATCCCAGACGTTATTTCACTAACTGCAAGGTATTTTATTGAAAACACGAGTCATTTCCGAGATCGACCCTGTGTAAATTCGAGCTGACGTTGTTTCCCTTTCTCTTTTTGTATACATATTAGTAAAAAATTAACGAAAATAAAATCAAATACAAAATTATAACATAACTAATGTGACATTTTTCTCTTTACTTTTAAGTTTTTCTGCGAAATTAAGGACTTGGACGAATTACTCCTTAAAATTCCTATTTAGGTAGAGCGGAAATGATATGCTCGAAGAAGCAATTGAATTTAGTACTGAATCGTAGAAAGTCATTATGATACAGTATTTTAGATAAGATATAGATTGGATGGTGTCTGTTTCGGATACCCATTATGTAATCATTATGATTCATATATACACTTAAGTATATCCCAGGTCAATTTGCCTCAAAATATTACAGAAAAAAATATAATTGTCCAGTTTATAATTTATTTTACTCTGACAGATAAGCTCTCGTTAAATCTAACACGATTGAGTTCGGCAAAAAGGTACACAAGATACTTTTCATTTTCATTTTTACTCATTTTTTTTTTCAATATGAGGAGAGCTTACTTGTTTCATTCACATTTCTCCCCGTTTTTGCATTAAATAATATATAATGGATTTCACTTTTTCCCTTCTTTTCTTCACTCCGCTGTTTCTATGAAAAAAAAGAGTTCTTCTTCAAAAGCAATATATTGGGATCCATTTATATAATATTTACTAGCATATTTTTTTCTTAAATGTATATAATTGAAAAAGCCTCCATCTTCCAAAGAAAACGTATAGGAATTAAAAAAAAAAACAACAAACAAACAAAAACGAAATCAAATCTATAAGAATTAGGAAACCTCAATGTTACTAGACTATGTGCAAAGGATGGTACTCCGATGATCAAATTTTGTAATGGAATATTATGACCGAATGATCTACTTTTATCTTAGGTCGTGTTACAAAAAAGGAATGACAAATCTCCATTACAATACTTTGTATGCATGTAGTTCTTAGGTTATCCTGTCTATTTTGAGACTCGTTGCGTGCTAAAATCTGCAGACCAAAATGTGCTAGCGTTTTGGGTAACGAGGATGCATAATATTTATATAGCTATACATCGTACTCGCTAATTCTTCCGAATAATATGCAATCATAAAAGGGGATATGGATTCTATTGGAAAAAAGATAACCTTCAATTACAGCAGGGCTTAGATTGTCACTTGTCCTTTGTTTTACTTTGTGAATTATGCATTAGTGGTTTGATGCGAAATAGAAACATAATCACGCAATCTACAAAATGACTGAAGACTCCTACGAGCAAAAAATGTCTTAAATCTTTTTTGACGGGAATATTGAGCCGTTTGAAAGAACAGGAATGTACGATGTTTGTCTATAATAATATATACTCGATGCAGAATCACTCTCTCTCTCTCTCTCTCTCTGCAGCTATGCAAGTGTTAATCATAAAAATGATAAGTAGTCCCTAACTAAGTAGTTTGGAGTGTCCAGATTTCCTATGATTCAATCTTAAGAGATGATCATTGTAAAAACAACACTAGCGACAAGCTGACCCAGTACGAAACATGAAGTTCCCCGTTCTCGCATATCTTGTAATTTTCCTTTTATTGGAGGATGGTTTCTGTCGAGGAAATGAGGTAAATTTAAATAAGAACATTTCTTGCGCTTTGGACAATTTAAAGTTTAGCTTGTAAGGCTGCAAACGACGAAGAACATTGTCGGCTATTATACCTAAAAACCAGGAAACTTTACAAATGTAAAGAGAAATTTAAGTTCTAAAATCCTTTTATAGTGTGCATACACCAGAATGTGGCCACAACTCCAGGCACTTGTTTCTGTAACGATTGTTTTACCTAAAGTGTTATTATTATATACCATGGGTTAAAAAAATTATTACAGAAACAAATGGCCGTACAGTGGATCCAGAAAAAAGCCTATTGCATCGAGGGTTTTGTCAATAACCCGAATTAAATGACTTGTTTTCTGTCTAAGACTTGAAGGACTTTGGTTAATTAGTCATGTACTCATTGACAATTGAAAATTGTTAATTAGTGAAAGACACATATATCTGAAAAAAGTCAGAGATGGTTGTCATTAAATATGATGTAAATTTTGGAAACTGCGCCTCATAATTGATGAATCTTATTACAGATGTGGTTATATGTTAATGTTGTAAGGAAAACAAACTTATCATAACATACCCGTTACCTATTTCTGTATTCATATGAAGCAAAAATTGTTTAAAATCTTTTACGTGAAAAGAAGAAAACACATGCTATGGCCTTCAACTCGACATATAGATATATCGACGACGTATTGTCAATCAAAAAAGCTATTTCCATTCTTATTTCGACACGATATATCCCGGTGAGCTTGAAATAAAATATGCCACAGAGTCTGAAACATCTATTTCATATTTTCTACTTAAAAAGATGTTTATGGTTATCTAACATCAATGCTTTATGATAAATTGGATGACTTTAACTTTTCAATAGTTAACTTCCCTTACTTATGCAGCATTTACCTTCATCACCTGCATACGGGGATAATATCTCACAGTTGATTCGATACGCAAGAGCATGCTCTGCGAATGTACAGTTTCTAAATCGAGGTATTAAATACTGACAAACAAGTTCCTGAAACAAGAATATCAGCAGTCTCGTGCAATGGCCTTGTCAGTAAATGTAATTCATCATTGAGTCAAATGCAGACTGACATTTTCATACTGATGTGTTAGGTCATTATTTACACACTGAACTGTCGACGAATTTTCCCGTTATTTTCCGATCATGACAAGGAGCATACGGCGGGTCTGCAGGGGAAGCTCACTGCTCTATGACATCAGATCCCGCCTCTGATGTTTCGGAGGTCCGTGTTTGCTCTGCTCCTATTTTGTAATGATTAGTGGACTTTGGAGCTTGAATACTGTTCGTTATCTCCACATATTAAAATATCAGTCTAAATCTCATATGACTTTATACAAGCATGAATGCGAGGAGGCACAATTCAGACTATGAGTACCTCTATTCAATCTTAAACAAGGCTGAAGCTATTTAGAAAGTAAAATCTGAGGAATTCAAACAATTTAATATATGATAGCACAGCACATTTGTTACTTTTCCATTCAGATTTGAGCTTTTTGGCCCCTAGATTGGGAAGTCTTTTAAAATAATGCAATTGTTTGTCAATAGAAACCTCTTGTCACCCCTGCCACAAGATGAGTATTGGTTCTTAGTTTTGAGATACACAGAGGTCACAGGAAGGTCAATAAATATTTCAATTTCTAAATTTTCTCATTTTTGGCAAATTTTCATCGGTTTTACTACTCATTTTGCTTCAGAAAACATAGAGCCAAGGTTGTATATCTACCAAAATTATATATTTCATACACTAGTATCAGAAGCATCCTATATGAAAAGTAGCTCAAATTTGGCGAAATTCCACAAGAATTGAGGAAGTTCGGAAAAATGTCCTACTTCTTCACTCTTCTGTGATTTCCATGTAAGCTTGGAATCAAAATTAGTGCTTACTTTAAAACAAGCATCATTTCAAGTCCTTAACTATAAATTATCAACATTTTAGCTGTGTTCTGATTTTTACATCAAATAAAGGGCTATATTTGGGCCGTTATCATAACTTGTCTTTTAATATAACGAACAGTATTTAAGCTCAATGCAAACAAGGAGCAAAGCAAACACGTATAAATCTCTAAAATATCAAAATTAAGATCAGATGCCATAGGGGAGTGAGCATCCCATGCCGACCGGTCACACGGGAAAATCCGTAGAAAATTCAGTGTGTAAAACGTCATTTGACTAAATGATGGATTGTATTTCTTGACAAGATCAATGTATCGACCAAAGAACTTACAAAATGTTGCCTTAAAACGAGACTGTTGATATTCTTGTTTAATCAATGTGTTTGTCAGTAATGTAATTTACCTCTTTTTAGATATTTTTGTACCTACAAAATGCTCTTTCGTATCGAATCAACTGAAACACATGTATATAAACCCATATGCAGGTGATCTAAGGCTTTATCGCTACATAATGATATGTAAGGGAGGTTGATGATTAAATAATTGAAATACTCACGTTTTCTTATGAGGCTACCATTAGCATCTTTTTCTAGTTAAATATCCGAATATGAAAAAGATATAACAGACTCTTTTGAGTCTTTTATTTTAAGATCACTGGGATATACCGTGTCGAAATATGAATGGGGTGACTATTGTAAATTGATAATACGTCAAAGATATATCTAATGCCCTGTTCACACGGAGAGTTTAATTCGAATCAAATGGAATGCATTAGATTCGTGTTTGTCAACTTCGAGTCGAGTTGAAGGCGACAGTAAATGTTTTCTTCTCATGTATAAAATTTTGAATAAATTCTGCTTTATATGAATACAAAATTAGGTACCCATCCATGAGAATTCCGAGAGATTGTTGAAAGACTCCAAAGAGAAAATAACTAAGCAAAATTCTAATTTTCCTTTCATGGAAGAACCCACTGTATGAATTCAGTCAGTCTGAAGATGAACATAAATCTTTTAAGATGAACTAAATATGATGCAAGAAAAACATATTTGATTTTTGATCAAATTCAATATTATAATAATTTCTACTTTTTTCAAATTTTTCAACATTTGTCTTTCATCTGAAGAGGAACAATAAACGTAGAAAGAGCCTGGGTAGGAAGGACAAGTCTGCAGGTATCGCTCACGAGTCCAAAGTCAATGTGTCAGCGCCTCATACATTCCAAAGATTGAGGTGTGTATAAAATATATGTGTTGTTTATGTGTTTGCCAAAACAGAGATTAAAACATTTAATATGAATACTTATTAATCAGTTTTAATTTTCATTTCATAAAATAATATGGAGCTATTAATCTTTTAACTAAGGTTTGGTAATCATGGCAATTGGTCGCTGTACAATGCTGGTCGTCTTGAGGTTAACAGAGGCGGGAAATGGGGACCAATCTGTGACGACAATCTGGATATCGCAGACGGCCACGTGGCCTGTAGACAAATGGGGTTTACGAGGTAACAAACGTTCTAGAGTGAGAAAAACGAAATTGTGAATAATCCGAATCGAGATTGAAAGTTTGTTTAAAGAATGTTCACAGTTAGACGAAAAATATACAGTTAAAGGATATACGGCGACTAACTTCCAAAAAATATCGTTAAATAACAGTAAATAAACAGATGCACGACAAAAACTAGTTCATACATTGTACGTTTGTAATTCAATTTTAAAAGTTTACTAAATTTTCTTAGATTTACGTAAGTGTCATAGATATTTTTCTTCAAAATATGATAGAATCATAGTCAAATTGTAGTCAGCTTTTAGTTGCTTCATATCTTTATCAAATTGTGAAATTTAAAAAATATCCTGGTCCCTGCACCAAAAATATAGTGAAAAAAATGAGAAAGGTAGGACTAATACAATGATTTGATTACTCAATAGTAACTAGAAAGATAAACTGAAAGCTAATAATGTATAATATGGTGAAAATGATACTGAGTATTTCCTCCTATTCTTTTTTAGGGGTGCCGAGAGGGTATTTGACAAGTCCCATTTTGGCTCTGGTCCGTGGAATTCAAGTGACATACTTATGGATGAAGTGAGCTGTACTGGCCAAGAAAAGGAGTTCCTATCCTGTCCTTACAATATTTATCATGACTGTACATCTAGGGAATTAGCCTCTGTTGCTTGCAAGGAAAACATAGGTAAAAGAGAAAAGTATATATTAGATTGAACAAAACCTTACATCTGCAGTATGAGAGATTTTGACAGAATGTTTATACACTCAGGATGTGAAGAAGGTTGGATCGCAGGTTCAGAGGGTTGTTACAAACTGCATACAACAGTCAAAAGCTATCACAAGGCTGGTAGAATCTGCTCTAAGGAGGGCGGCCATTTAACCAACATTGAAACCATAGAAGAACATAACTTCCTATCTCGACTTCTTCATACAGTGGAACGGGGTACGTGTAAGAGTAAGCATGAAATATTCTAGAAGCAGGAAAAAGACAGTACGGATAGATCGTGTGACTAATAATAAACTCGATGGTCATTTATTTTACTATAGCGGAACCTATAAAGGTTTAGGATAAATATATTTATGATTATTTTGCCTTTTGTTTCACCTTACAGGAGCAAAATTTAATTTCCAGATATTCTAGTTTTTTTTAAATAAGTACTAAGCCAGATCACTAAAAGATAATTTTAATTAAAGTATTCTTGTCAGAAAAATTGAAATTCTCTACAATATTCTGTTTATAAATTTAACAACTTTAATAATCAAACTAGAAATGAAAGACTGATCAACGATAAATAATTTTACACTCTACGGTTATATTAGAATTGTGTGAAAACAACATCTTTAGTTAATGATAAACCCATCCCTGATTCGAACATGCAAACTTCCAGATGGGACGCAAAGTCTTTTATTACTAAGCAGCCACTAGGCAACGATACATTCACAACCACTGAGTTACGACAGACTATCTACCGTTATGTAAATGGCATATGGCAATGATTCAATTTTACTGCCATTTATTTTATAGATGAAACAATCAAAATGACTTAAAATTTCTTTTCTTGTAAAGCAAGTCATAAAATGTTTACTACAAGACAATTATAATTATCTTCCCATAAAATCTCATCAAGGGCCCGAGAAACAAGCAATTGTTTCACTGATTGCTTGTCCTGATACTAAACTTGTCAGTTGTGAAGTCATTTTCTAATGCAATGAAATATCCTTGGTGTAAGTAATTTCACGTCAGACACAAAAATCGAGAACCTGAATTTACTGTGACATGTTCTTTTTCCTATATCTCTTTCATTCAGTATAAATGCTATTAAAATCAATTGTACGCTCATCATTAAAGACATTTTTAAAAATATTCACCAGACACCAACATTTGGATGATTGGAGGAAGACGTAAAAAGTCAATCTGGTATTGGGAAAAGTTATTACGCATTCCAAAGGAAGCTATAAGAGGACAACAAAGGCAAAGGACGAAAAACAAGAAAGGAAATCTTCAAACAATCAAATCCAATATGACTTACACTGGATTCTTTCCAGGTATTGTAAGACATCTTATTGTCATCGATCACTGGTCGTTTGGTTCATCTTTTTCCTTTATTGAAGACTGTATAGGACTTGATAGAAAAATTAATTCAAAAGGTCCTAAAATTTTATTAAAAAAATAAATTGCAATGGCAAAAAACGAAAATATAACGAGAAACTTAGGTGTTTTAGTTCACTACTTGAGAAATAATACGTATAAATTGTTATAAACAGTGGAGAAATGTTCAACATCATCTAAATTGTGAAAATACGCAGGATTGCTGATAAAAGTCTACCTAACAATGAATAATGTATACATGTATAGTGTTGCGATGATTTTCAATAAATAATTTAGAAAATAGATATAAGGAATCTATATATGGAAGCATATTGAAAAATCAATTTGACTATTTTCATAATCTGTTCATTTAAGATTTGAATTATTAACTATAATTTTACCTTAAGGTTGGCAGCCAATAAATTTCAATAGACAACCCTCCAAGAAGAGGGGTGAATACTGTGTAGGGTTGGTCCATCAATACCAACATCCCAATGGCTCAATGGTGTCTGTCCAGTTTTATTATTTTGATGACATCAAATGCAGGAAAGAAAAGAAATACAAGTTTGGATTCGTATGTGAGAAGCCACTACAGAAGTTGGACAAGCCGGTCACCAGACAATCTAACGGCAAGTTGATCCACAATTTACGGTGATTTATCATTCTTTTCAGATTTTTCTCCTTAATTTTCAAGTCATCAATTTAGTCAATTAGAAATTCTCATGTCGATTAAGCAAAAGTTACTTAAAAGGTTAGGAAATTCATTTTGTAATTGTAAAGATCATTTATAATGGGAAGGCGAACAATGACATAAGAGTTTGTATAGTAAAGATGAATGAAAACAGGTAACGATCATAAAGTTTATGCTGCATATTTTTTTTTATTCTTCATCTATGCATCTGGGAAGTTGAATTCTCAACCTCATGCATAATAAATTTATTTATCAATGATCAACCATAGATATATCTTAGAATTTCAAATAAAGTTTATGCTGCATATTTTTTTTTTATTCTTCATCTATGCATCTGGGAAGTTGAATTCTCAACCTCATGCATAATAAATTTATTTATCAATGATCAACCATAGATATATCTTAGAATTTCAAATAAAGTTTATGCTGCATATTTTTTTTTTATTCTTCATCTATGCATCTGGGAAGTTGAATTCTCAACCTCATGCATAATAAATTTATTTATCAATGATCAACTATAGATATATCTTAAAATTTCAAATGAAATTTTTCGTAAATATTTTTTTATCCATTACAGAATGTTACGTAGGAAATGGGGAGACCTACAGAGGTGAACAGACAGAAACAACAATACGGACAACGTGTCAGAAGTGGTCCAAATCATCATACATCAATGAACACACTCATCCTGGAAAGGCATGAATAGTCACACACACAGCCATAAAAATTTAAAGATTTTCAAATTCTCTTTAATCTACATTGTATTTCTTCAGAAAAAAAAATAGTTATTAAAATGTTTTTTTTATGTTTGCATATATCCTTATTTATTTATTTATTCATCTTGGTTTCATTTCAGGGATTAGGTGATCATAATAAGTGCCGTAATCCAGACAACAGTTCCAGGCCTTGGTGCTGGGTGGATGCAGATCGTAACCGCTTTGCTTACTGTTCTGTACAAAAATGTTCTCTAGATAGGCCTACTCATACCAAGGTAGTTAATGAAGGTAAGAGGAATAAGGTAGAGCATATCATATGTTTTGTAGCTAGATAAAGAATTCATTTCACACATGCAAACACAATTGAAAGTATCAATATGTATTCCATTGTCACTTGTATGTGTTTAATTTGAAGTAATATCATGTGCTGGCTATTCCCCTTTGACAAACTATCTCACCTCTGATAGATTAAGGGTTCATTGTTTGACCTTCTCTACATTTATAACGACAGTAGAAATTTTGGTTCAATTTTTACATAGCTTCAAATGAAATTGTGAGATAAAGATTGTAAATCATGAGAAAAATTAAAGTTTTTTTTGAATATTTGTAAAAGTCTATTTGTAAAAGTCTGTCTATCACAACCAGTTTCTTTTTCAACACTCATTGTGATAAAAAAAACCGTCTGAATGATTATCTGTTCTTTAATATGTGTTATAGATTGCTATGTTAGGGATGGCGAATCTTACAGAGGATTTACCAACAGAACAGTGAAAGGTTACACCTGTCAGAACTGGAGGTCTTCCTCTAAAGTTAACCCCAATACACACCCTGGAAAAGTAGGTGTCAAGTTCTGCTTAAATTTTGAAATGGACATTCATTTTGGGTGTTACCAAATAGATATCTATCTTTACTATATTTACAATCCAGGGATTAGGGAATCATAATATGTGCAGAAATCCTGATGGGGACACCAAGCCGTGGTGCTGGGTAAGGGTTAACCGTAACGAGTTCGATTATTGTGTGGTGCCCCAATGTTCAGATCTTGTGACACGAACTGAACCACCAATTACAACTAGTGAGTACATTTTCATCACGTGTTAATTTTCAATGAATAAAATATTCATAAAATTCTATTTTTTTAGCACTGGTTAGTTTTGAAATACATATGAAGCTGCTGATTTTCTCCTTTTGGGAATTTACAATGTTACATTATGCAATTGTTTTTCAATATCTATTCAAACAATAAAGCAATTTAACAAGGATAAGATTACCATATTATTCAGAGTTAAAACCATCATAATAAGATCCAACCCTCATGTTTACGAATACAGTCCTAAATCAAAATTACCAGCATGTAAAAGCTAATATTAGCAAAGTACATCACGTGTTCCTCAACTCTATATGTATATGTACACGTACCGAACACTGTAACAAAAAACAAATGAATGACTCAATATGCAGCCATAAAACTGCTGAGTAAATGTTAATCACAGTATCGGTTTGATGTACTCAAATGCAGAAAAAATTAATTATTGATGATCGCAAGACATATCAGAGAATACACATTAATGCATCTATGGGCTCTAATTTGATTGCTTCTGCATCAAACGTCTGCATGGTGTCATTAAGTCTCTGAGTCAATTGATTAAAACACTGTAGCTTCATGAAACAAGAATCAAAGAGCTACTTTTGTAGTAAATCTAAATTTCAGCTACTGCACAGATTGATTGTCCCACTAACAAGTTTTTTTGCCACTCAAGTACCGAAGATGTGTAAGTATTGCTTGTTGCTTTGTTCAATGTGAAAGAGCACATATTAATTATCAGACATATTTGATTAAACAACTAGTCTTTTTCAAGGACCTATTTACCAATGGAAATAGGTCCTTGTCCATAGAAAGTGAAGTCTTATGATGTTTTACTGTATGTTGGACATCAAAGTACAATATTTTATATATAGCAAATACATTCAATTAGTAATTTAATACATATCTTACATTTCTTTATTACAATTTGAGAGAATCAATAATCGTTGGTATAGTTGGAGTTTATGGTAAGAAATCCGTGTGGATTCTTAATATTATTATAAAATCCATTTAAATATATATATTTAAAAATTGTGAATCATAATGAGTTGCCATTCACTCTGAATTTAGTGCACTATTGTGGTATTAAAAAAGCGTCAGCTGACTCAATTGGCTCATTTAATTAATAAATGTTGTATGTTGAGTAGTGGAAACAATGTTTTTAAACAAAGAATGCTACAAAGTAATTTATTAAACCTGATAAATGAACCAACAAATTTTTCAACTACCCCTGGTACATGTATAGATTTAGTTTTCACTAATAATCCAAGTATTGTAGATAATGTGTATGTTACATCTCCATTCTGTAGTACTCATTCACCAGTTAGTTTTGATATAAAATACAAAACTTTCAAACAATATGCTTACAAACGCACCATAAGAAATTATGATAATTTAATTTTAAAGATATAGAAAATTATCTTAATAAAATCAACTGGGATTCCCCAGTCTTTAATTCCTCAAACATAAATGAAATATATGATAATTTCTTACACGCTTATGATGCTATCTTAGATAAACATATACCTAAAAAGGTAGTCACAATTAGACCACGTGATAAACCATTTATGAATAATAGTATACGTCTAAGGATAAGACAACGGAATCGTATACACAGAAAAGCAAAACATAGAGACTGCCCAAAGTTATGGGGTCGTTTCAGAGAGCTGAGAAATGAAGTAATTTCTATGGTTAGACATGCTAAAGTAAAATACTTAATAGAGATATACCACCAGGAAAATGGTGGCGAATTACGAAATCAATTGCAAAATATATATATATATATATATATATATATATATATATATATATATATATATATAAAACATAATATATCAAGATGTTGCTGATCAATTAAACAATTTAAATGTAAATAAACCTCCTGGCCCAGATGGGATAACACCAAAAATTCTTAAACAATTATCCTCCTCTATTTGTAAACCACTAGCAAAACTTTTTAATAAATCATTTGAATTAAAACGTTTACCTAATGTGTGGAAGCAAGCTAATATTACCCCAGTTTTTAAGGGTAGAGGTAGTCCTGACTTAGTTAATAACTACAGGCCAATTTCACTGACTAGTGCTGTTTGCAAAATTATGGAAAAAAAATATTTTTAAATATTTGTACAATTTTATATTAGAAAATAATAATATCTTAACAAAATACCAGTCGGGATTCCAACCTAATGACTCAACTGTCAACCAATTAGTGGAAATTTATAATACAATTATATCTAATTTAGATAAAGGCAAAGATGTCAGATTCATTTTTTGTGATATTTCAAAGGCTTTTGATAGAGTCTGGCATAAAGGTCTACTTTTTAAATTAAAATCTTATGGAATTCAAGGTACATTACTAAAATGGATAGAAAATTAGTTAGATGATAGAGTTCAAAGAGTGGCTGTAAATGGGTTCTTTTCAAATTTTAAACCTATATCAGCTGGTGTTCCTCAAGGTTCTGTTCTAGGTCCTTTTTTATTTCCTCCTGTATGTAAATGACATAACTGATAATTTAGTTAATAATACCAGGCTATTTGCAGATGATACATCACTGTTTATAGTGGTAGATAATGATGTTAATGCAGCAGCAATATCACTTACATCTGACTTAGATAAAATTAATAAATGGGCCTTAACATGGGGTGTGGATTTCAATCCAACCAAAACCTGTAATGTAAATTTTACAAGAAGTTCAAATAACCATCCCCCAGTCCAATTTGGCTGTAATGGTAGCATTATTAGTGAATCTAGGTCACACTGCCATCTTGGACTTCTTTTTCAAAGTGATGCAAAATGGACATCTCATTTAAATAATTTATACGAAAAAGCTTGTTCTCGACTAAATCTTTTAAGAATGTTGAAACATCTGCTAGATAGAAGTGCATTGGTAAAAGTCTATTTTGCTTTTATTCGACCCATCTTAGAATATGGTAGCATATATTGTTTGGGATAATTGCTCACAAGAACTCTCAAATCTTTTAGAAAACGTTCAAGTAGAAGCTGCCCGAATAATAACAGGACTCAGGAAAAATTCATCTAGAAATGCTTTGTATTTAGAATTAGGTTGGGAATCATTAAATAAGAGAAGGGAAAGACAAAAACTCTTGTTGTTCTATAAAACTGTTTATGGTATATCCCCTCCTTATTTACAAGAAATGGTCACACCTTTTATGCCACCAAATCATGGTTACAACCTTAGAAATATTGATAATTTTAATTTTATTATACCTCAAGCAAGGACAGTCTCATATTTTAACAGTTTTCTGCCTTCTACTATTAGATTATGGAACAATTTACCACTTGAAACAAAATGTATTGAATCTTTTTCATGTTTTAAAAATGTCTTAAAGAAACCTGCTGCAGATAGAATAAAGGATGTCAAAATCTTTCATTATGGCAATCGCAAGGAAAACATTATACATTGTCAATTAAGAAATGAATCTAGTAATTTAAATGCTCACCTGTATAATCAATACTTAAGTGAAATAGCATCTTGTACTAAGTTTGGATATCTGAACGAGGATAACTATCATTTTTTCTTAAGATGTCCTGCCTACTATAATCAGAGAATGATACTTTTTGAAAGTCTTCAGAGTTTAATAGAACTAGAAACAATGTCTCCTGATCAAATTTTGAATATTTTGCTAATTGGTGATAGGCAACTACCTTATAAAATTAACTGTTCAATTTTTGAAGCAGTTCAACTGTACATCAAGTCATCAAAAAGATTTTGATAGTATTTTGTAATTAAATAAAAAATAAATCCAGATATTTCTTATTTTTTCTATAATTTCAAGTCTCAGCATTTCCAATTTCCATGTATATGTTGTATTTTCTTTGGTAATTTGTCCTTGCACTTTATTATCTTTCTCTTTACTCAGTGTCATTGCTTGAATTTATTTACTTTTAAATGTTACTATTTCCTTCTATTTTGTATTTTCTTAAATATTAGTTCTTTGCACTTTACTTATTCTGTTTTGCTGTTTTGTTTGCACTTTTATCTTAATTGTTTAGATTTTTTTTTGGTCATTATATTGTATAGCGAATATGCATAAGCTTAGTAATAATTCTTCTGTATAATTTAATTCAATTTATCTCCTTTTTTCCCACCGTTAGTTAACAAAAGAATTTAATGTAACTTATAAGGAATATTTTCATCATTGTATTTTTTGTCAGTTCTTAACATTTGTAACCTTGACCTTGGAGAGGACTTATATAGGCCATGCCTGATGTCCAATCCAATTATGTAATCTTACTTTATATAATAAAATATTGATTAAATTAATTAGTATATAACGATAATCATTATAAAGCTTATAGAAATGTATTATCTTGCAGTTTTTTTTATATTCAGTAAAACTTGATGAGGTTTGAAAAATTCAGAAGTGATATATTGAGTCAAAATCAACCTTTTTGATTAATGATATAACTCCGAAGTCACTCAAGGAAAAAAGTCACTTTTTTCATATGTGTATATATATATATATATATATATATATATATATATATATATATATATATATATATATATATATATATATATATATATATATATAATTGCTTAATTTTCTAATGACATTGCAGTCCAGTTTCTGTTTCCAACTTATTTTGGTTTTTTTTCCTAATATAATCTTGGTTTTTCCAACTTTCAAGTTTGTGTTTCCAAGTTTTATGTATTCTGAATCTTTATTTATTATCTCTCTTTCTTCATATCTCCAGATTAGTTCCTCCTCATAAAACTAATAAGTTTGAGAAGGAGTGTAATCTAGAAACAAATTTGACGGCTGATGTTTAAATTTCATTTTTTTGGCTGTCATAAAACCTTTGATAAGGATGCCTCAAATTGATAACTCACACTTTGTCTCTGATTGCTATTAACTGTTAAAATTACCAAATAGAATTACAAAATAGGAACTCATTATTTACAAGTTTCAAAAACAATCTCATAAATCATAAATTCATCGAAATCATTCCTTACTTTATATTTCATTGTTAATTGCAAATACATATTGTTGATGAATTTATATTACTAGTATTTGTGTATTACAGAGTGAAAAAATATTGTGTTCAATTTACTGAAATTACAGCACTAAAAAGCACTTTACATTGGCATCACAAACGGTTTGCTGTTTATTGATCTACGACTTGTAGTTAAGTTTGCTGATAATGGATGTCGAAGGAGGAAATCACTAAAAACAAATTACTTAATGACCATTCTTCTGTCTTCCGCATACTCAATAAATATAAATTCTATAAATAGAAAGACTTCTATGATTTTTTAAGATTTCTATTAAAATATGGATACACGGAAGTTTAATAATATATCTATGGCCTTTTCTAGATTTTCACGATCATTAAGACAAAAAACAATGATTTTTTTTTTTGGAACTGTCAGTTTTCATATAATTATTTTTTAAATATAAATTTACATTCAGAATATAATGAGATTAATGTTATACGCTTGCAATCTAAGATATGTTTTTATTATTTATGACAGGATAATTATTTTTTGATTTGTTTCAAACAAGTAATTTTTCATGTTGATATTTTTCAGCTGCATTCCTGAAGTATTTCAATGTGATGCCGAGAGAGATTGTCAAAATAATGAAGATGAAGAGAACTGTGGTGAGCTGGGATTGATTTGTGTGTCATCAGAATTTCTCCTTCTGCAGCACATCTAATGACAAAAATCATGCAATTCTGTTACAGAATACAAAGTCCCACTATTTACAAAACGTGGAAACTTTGCGATCATGTCGTCGGGAGAGGTGGCCTATGAAAATATAGCACTAGAACTGGTAACTAAGATAGCTTTTGTAAGAATTGACAAAGTATTATTATTTCAGATAAATATATTTCGTCAAATTACTTCTGAACCCGAACAGGTCACAAAGGATATAATACAGATATTTTAGATATTATAATGATGTCAGTATAATCTAAACAGGTTAATTTTTGTGGAAGGAAACAAATTAATCGTTAACATTAGAGGATGTAAACTTAATCATGTACTTAACAAAATCTTCCTTTCAGTAGTTCACCAGTCAAACGTTCGTTTGTTCTTCTTTCAGTGTGCCAGATACTGTTTGCAGTCTACTAGGTTTGTCTGTAGATCCTTCCATTATGTTATTGGGAAAAGAGAGTGTTTTCTGTCATCAAAAAACAGAGAGAGAATCTCAACAAGTGGCGATTACTCAGCCGTTTATGACTACTATGAACTCAAATCGCAGATTAGTACGTTTCTGGGGCTTTATATGTATACGGGTTTTAGTTTTTGCTTTTGTAATTCCCAAAAGTTGACATAAATTTCATTCAAAACGTTGTCTTAATTGCTTTAGACAGGCAATTTGATCACTAATACTTATTTTATTACAATGATCCAATTTCAAGAAAGATTCACTTTCTTTGAATATTATTACATGACAAATTATCCCGTACATGTAATACATTAATTTGTTTGAAAATTTCTGCGAGTAATTCATGACAATATTCACAAGTGGTTTGACAACTCTGTTAATTGCACTGTTAGAACACACTACCTTAAATAGTCAACTATAATACAATCTTTCAGACATTTCTTTGTCAGAGTAGATACAATATATGTGTCTCTACATATCACTCTGTTTTAGGAGGGTGTCCTGGGGAGTTCAAGTGTAAAAATGGTCGCTGTATCGAGCGAAATTTACAATGTAACTCACACGATGACTGTGGAGATTTGTCAGATGAGGAGGGATGCGGTGAGTATTGAGATTACTGAATATTTATTTCGATTAACACATTGGCAATTTTTAAACGAACCATTTTTGAAAGTAGACTTTTTTTTTTACTAAAATTAGATTTTGTTTTTTGAAAGTGGTAAAAATAAAAGATTGGAGACATTGTTAATATGCAAAATATTGTTTTTTACAAAGGCCAGAATGATCGATATACTTTTTATGTAGTTGAGAATACCGTCCCTCCCTTGGGAATTCGCCTAGTGGGCGGTGACAATGACCATTCCGGGAGAGTTGAACTTCAGTACTATGGGGAATGGGGAGTTATATGTGATGATAGCTGGGACATCAGAGATGCAAGAGTTGTCTGCAGAATGATGGGCTTTGAAGGGTAAGCTAAAGTTTGTTGTGAATTAGTCATTCAATTGAAATAAAAACAAATGATTCAACACAAAAGAGATCAACTTCTACATAGGAACAATTTCTAAAACAAACAAGTTGATGGGACAAATATCGTTTAACAGTCTCATCTTAAGTTCTATGATCGATACAATGACTTTGTCAGCAATTGTAATTTATCATGAAACCAAATGCTGACTAACGTTTTTCATACTAATAGCTAAGCCATTATTTTCACACTAAACTGTCGACAGATTTTCTTGTTACTTCCAAGTCATGACAAGAATTAAGTTTAGGGCGGCTGTTACTGGTCGGGATGGGATGCTCACTTCTGGCAGCTGATCCCACCTCTAATGTTTTAGAGGTGCGATTTTGCTCTGCTCCAGATTTGTATCATTTGAACGGACTTTTTAATTTGAATACAGGTCGTTATTTTCATATACCGGTATTAATCAATAAGAACTATACAGATAATGAACTGAAATCAGGTCCAAAAGTCCACCACTGGAACAATACTAATAGGAAGCAGAGAATGCATGGACCTCTAAAAACTTCAGAATATTTGGAACAAGTGTTATGGAGGACTAAGCGTCCCCCGTCGACTGTTACAGCCGCCATGTACTCTGACGTAATTAATGGGATACTAAAGGACAAACTTTATAAGAATTTCACTAACAATTGTTTTTAGAGGAAATTCAACTGCTAACAAAATTAATGTCTTTGAAAACGTAACTGCTTTAAGAACTTCTTTGATAACTGCCAGAATGTAGGTAAGTTCTCGCTCTATATTACTTTTTTGCCATTTGACAAAAACCTATGTACAATAGAGGAGCAGAGAAAGCTACACGATTGGGTTCCTTTGGTTATGGAAATGGAAACTTTCTCTTGGACGAGGTAAACTGCAATGGCACTGAAAGAACTTTGGAGGACTGTGAAAAAGAACCGTGGAAGGATCATGACTGCACATCATATGAAGTTGCAGGGGTTGTGTGTTATCCATATAAAGGTAACACATTTTAAGATTGACGACTGAACACTTTTTAAGAGGCTTTATGAAACTTCCAATGTATCAAGAGGTTTATTTTCACCTATATAAAATATGTTTTCATTGAAGAATGTACGGAAGAAGAATTCCAATGTGATAATAATAAATGTTTAACACCTCAACAAGTATGTGATGGCACAGCTGATTGCTCAGATCGGTCGGACGAAAGCAGTTGTGGTAGGAGTTTTAAAATGCATCAAGGATGATAAATTACACAAACTAAATATTACTGCCTGATACATACGACTTGTGACATCGTATAAATAAATTTATACAAAGTTTTGTACACATTTTTATTATTTTAACAAAATTTTACAGAATTTTTACATTAACTGTTGCAAACATTATTCAAGTTACCTATTTTAACATCAATTTATCAGGTATCATGCCAAACCTGTAATAATGTTTTTTAAAAAAAAGTATTCAAGGAGTAAAAATATAAATATGACAAAAAATGTTCTACAAATGCATTTATCAGTATATGTTGAAAACTACATAATTGTTTTGTTATGGCAATGTGTGAAAATTACCACCATACTTTGACACTAAATTCAACAAGCCATGTAAAATATAAATGTATGAACAATACAGATATACAAGTGAATCTGGTGAATGGACATGGACCAAACAGTGGAAGGGTTGAAATAATCAGAAATGGACTTAAAGGGACTATTTGTGATGATGGATGGTCAGATAAAAGTGCTGCTGTTGTCTGCAGAATGCTTGGTTATCCGTAAGGAACATAATTGAATATGCTTCTTAAGTGTTCACCTGACCAAATGGTTTTAGATAGTTTTACGATTTTCTATGCATTAACTTTTTAGAGGTGGCCAGGCCAAGTTTGATGCAACCTTTGGAGCTGGTTCAGGTGCCATTTGGCTTGATGATGTCGAGTGCCATGGCAACGAATCGTCTCTTATTGACTGTTCAAGAAGGCCATGGGGAGAACATAACTGTGGTCACACAGAGGATGCAGGGGTCATTTGTGAAGGTACTAAAATAGGTCCATTGCTTTTTTTCTCTAAGTTAGTGTTTACAGTTAACAAGTATGTGTTGACAAAATCCTTCAAAGAAATAAAAAAGAAAGATTCGTATTTGTGAGTTGTATCATTTTATTTCTTCTGTGTAGGTGCTACTGAAATTACAACCAGAAAATCCACCACAACTACACAGTCCACTATACAATCATCCATAGGTGATATGAGTCCATATAATTTGAAATATCACCTTCACTTACCCCTTGTCTTCCATGGATATCGTTAATCCTTTAAAGACTTGTCCACCACTATTATCAATCTGTTTCTATCTTCCGGCACTCTCTGGGATTCAGCCAGGCTCAGTTCTCTCCATTCCAATATATTGTTTTCCCATCTCCTTTTCTGTCTTCCTAATCTCGGTCATCCTTCAACTGTCCCTTTTTTCATACAGCAAGACCCCTTGATCGGAAGATGTGACTGTGACCATACTACTACAATTTCCGCTTCTTGGCAATTTAAGTGATATTTGAAATGTACCTGCATAGAAATTCTACTCCCATATTACAGAAGACTTTTAATTGCAGTGAGAATTAAACTGGTGGGTGGTGGGGTTGCCAGTAGAGGTCGGATAAAGATATGGTACAAAAGACGATCAGGAACTGTCTGTGATGACAACTTTGATAATAAGGATGCTAATGTTGTCTGTCATATGCTTGGATACAGGTAGATATTGACAGGGCTTTGATATCAGAGTACATTGTATGGTTTTAGACGGTATGCATGTAAAATTTGGGTGGGAAATACAGATGGTAATTTAACTTTCAGTGGTGGTAAACCCTCTAAGCTGTATGGTCCTGGTAAGGGCACAATCTGGCTTGATAGTCTGAATTGTCACGGAAATGAATCTAGCATCCATGATTGTCAACATGATGGATGGGGAATCTCGGATTGCACACATGAAGAAGACGTTGGTGTTGATTGTGAAGATGAGTCTGTTTGTAAGATCTTTAGATGTATAAAAATTATATTGCTTCCTCAAGTTTGCACCATTGTGATTCCTCAGATGTTTAAAAATAAATAAAACAAAGAAAAGCATCCCTGTGCCATTAAATTCTTTATTAAAAATAAAAAAAATTACATCACATAAGCTAATTTAACAGCTGCTCCTGAGGTGAGAGTAAGGTTGATTGAGGGAACGGTTCCGAGTGAAGGACGAGTGATGTTAACCGTGCAAAACAAGACTGGAACTGTATGTGATGACTTCTTTACTGATATCGAAGCCATGGTCATTTGTCAGATGCTTGGTTACAGGTAATTTTTTCTATTTCATGTGGATTTACTGTTAACATTTTTTTTCTAAAACTCCACATCAATTCATGGCCAAAACATTGTTATAGTTGGTGTTTCTCCTATTGATATTGCCTTCACTTGTGTTATTAAATGGATTCTGTAAAAGTTCAATAAGAATAATAACAGCTGTAAAAATATTCAAGATAGTTTTCAATCTTTTCTTTCAAATCGTGAAAAAACTTTTGCCTATCCAAATTTGAAAACGATACAGCCAAAGACTATATTATTTTCAGAGGTGGTATTGTTGCAGAAGAAGGTTACTTTGGACCTGGTACAGGGATAACTCTTCTTGATGATGTGAAATGTCAGGGAACAGAGAAATCTATATCTCAGTGCAGACACAATGGATGGGGCATCAGTAATTGCGAACATTCAGAGGATGTGGGCGTCATTTGTGATTCCCCTCCCACCACACTAACTCCCACAACAGATGGTTCAGGTAGAGTTTTATCCCAATTTCAAAAATTTACACATATTCTTATGTGTTTGTATGGTCATTTTGCCGTCTCCAAATGGAGATGATTTTGGAATTTTTCCATTTCTATTTGTTTCTCTCTCTGTGACAAATCTTTGAAAGTTGGAGGAGTTGATTTCTTGGTAATTCTATCGGAATGTAAATTAGGCAAATCTATGGGTCAGGGGCTAAGGAGGCTTATATGCATGTAAATCTCATGTGCATCTTTGTGTCTAACGCTAAGGAGGAGGTGAAATAGGCATATAAATCTTGTGTTGATGTCTAAATGTGTTTTACGTCAATTGCCGAGGACTAATGGAATTGGACATGAGAGGACTGTAATTTAAATCTATTAGTCTATATTTTTATAATATAAATCTATAATTTATTTCACAATTAAATAGAAATATAAGGAATCACTGTCTTGTACAGCTCAACGCAATTTTTAAACTCACAAGGATTTTCGCTCAAATTAAAGTAACATTTTTCTTGCGATGAAACTTAAAATTATCGAGTTTCAGTTCGAGACATAATCTATATTATTAAATATTTTAAGTTTCAGGTGCATTTTCTCTAAAATCATTATCTAAAGTTTTAAATGTCAATGTTCTAAAAAGGAATTGTTTTATAAATTGTATGATGTTAAATGTGTATGGTTCTACCATACGTATTTACAAATTAATTAATCGAACTTTCTTTGAAAGTTTTTGGTTGAAATGTTCAAATTTACTTCTTACAGATAAGTATTTTTCTAGATTCTTTGCACATTTTCCATACTTCTCTTGGTTTTGTAGAAATGCAGCGCCGAAAATTGACAAAACTGTATTAAAGAATCATGTGAAAGGATAGGATAGTCAAGAATTGTTTATCTTTCAACATAGAAAATTGTAAATATTGAAAAGAAAATTCTTTAAATTTATGGTCTGAAACTTTGAAATTTTGCGTTGGAAGGTATCTTTCATGATGCTAGATTTCAGAAAGTTAACCTGAAAAAATGCCATCTTTTAACGTGGAAACCAGTCGAACAGATGAAAAAATACTTCTTTCATCTTGCGGTTTAGTGACATATTAATGTATAGAAAATACAAAGATTACATAAACTGCACTGTTTCTGTATTTAGGCAATGCAAAAGTATGCTTTAAAATGAACGGATACAAAGATGGTTGACGAGAAACCATGAAAAAACATTTGGAAACTCTCATAATATATCATCCAAGAGTATATAAGAATCCTACTAATTATTATGTGTGAATTATGTTTAAAGTCATGAAAAATGATCAAAATTAAGTTATAAATCATTTTCAAAAAATATTTTGTTGTCATGTTACACAATTTTACATTATAACAATGTGACCTTAATTTGTGCGAAAAACCATGTGAGTTGAAAAAGTGCGTTGAGCTGTATAATATGCCAGGGACATAAACGGTAGTGGACAAAAATCAACCCAACAATGCCGCCTCCCAGTTTCATCATCGCGCCGGTTCTGACGTTTTACTGGCATGCTAAATATCAAAATCGTAAAAAAAAAAGTTTGAAAAAATAAATACATTTCTGTGAAAATATTTTATAAATGAAAGTCTTTGGCTTTCGTATCTTGTAACTTTATTTTCTAATAAGATGCTTATGGGCAGCGGAAAGGGCAAAAATTACCATAATGAGAAAACAAACAATTATTTTAATTTCAATGACCATAAAAACTTAACAAATGATATACAATGCATAATCAACAGACATTTTCGCAGAACAAATATACATTAAAGCAAAACCAGCGACCGCGTACGTAACAAACATATATGAATGCAAAACCAACGATCATCTTTGCAGTACAAACGTACATAAAACACGACAAACGAAAAAAACTTAACAAACGTGCAAGCGGTAAATCTAGTCTTCCCGACTCCCGACGGTCCCGGAATTTTTTTTTTTTATTTTGGCGATTTCTTTTTTGTCGGCGCACAGAAACTCTTCACACTTCTCAGGCACATTTCTAGGTTAAAAAAAATTCATTAATATATAAAAACTTAAACAAATTTGTGTATTTATAACTGAATCGGCAGTACCACCAAAAAAGCGGTAAATCTAATACTCAGCTATAAATGCGAAAACCACTGAAAAAAGGATAATGATGTTTTCGTAGAATCGCGATTAAAACAACAAACTGAGGTATATTTTTTTAATAAATGAAAACCCTCATTTACATGCCAGAAAATTTGTATGCTCAAAAATTCCCCACACATTTTTTTTTGTCCCCCGCTTGAAAAGTGGGGGATATTAATTTGGGTTTGTCCGTCCGTCCGTCTGTCCGTCCGTCCGTCTGTCCGTCTTTCTGTCTGTCTGTAACGCTTTCGTTTCCACACGATATCTCGAGAACCCTTTGAGCTTTCGCAATGAAATTTTGCATGGCAACTCCCTATGAACTAAAGAAGACCTCTATTAATTTTGAGGTCAAAGGGTCAAAGTTCAAGGTCATAAATTCGCAAATTCTGTCTGTTATAACACTTTTGTTTCCACACGATATCTCGAGAACCCTTTGAGCTTTTGCCATGAAATTTTACATAACAACTTCCTATGGCCTAAGGAAGACCCCTATTGATTTTGAGGTCAAAAGGTCAAAGTTCAAGGTCGTAAATATATACATTCTGTCTGTGTGTAACACTTTCTTTTCCGGGCGATATTTCAAGAAGATTTTGAGCTTTTGCAATTGAATTTTATACCAAAAGTCCCTAAGACCTCTCTCACCCCTCTCAAAGTGTCCCGCCCCGTTTGTTTTAGAAGAATTTATTGTATTACATGTCGTTATTTTTAGCACAGGGACATGAGGAGAGTTATTACGTATAAAACAGGTTCTCGGCGGACTCTATATTCTTATTTCATCTATTAGAACTGTTTAATAAAGGTTAAATTAGACACAATGCATTATGTAAAATTTTGAAAATATATACATGTATGTCTTCATCTTTGTATATACTAGTAGTTTAAATAAACAGGTGTGAAAATAGAGGCTTCGTGGTGTAGTGGTATGTCTCTCGCATTTCGTGCGGGAGATCCGGGTTCGAGTCCAGGACGACGTATTTTCTTTTTTTTTCTGAAATTTTTTTTTTAACTAAATGATAGTATTCAGCATGTGAAATGAAAAATTTGTAAGGTGTGGCTTCTACAAACTCATAAAATCATCATTACAGAGTGATAAATATTCCATATAAAAAGGAATCTTCTATACTCATAATAAAGAATAAGCAATCAAATCTTTATATTCATATTGATATATTTTATTTGCTTCAGTATGTGTACATGTATACATTTAATAATTTTTCAACTTAAGTCAGGGGGATCCGACAACCCCCCTCCCCGAACTGCGCATGGTTTACTTTTTCCCTAAGCGGGGGACACAAATTCTCTGAATTAGCTTGTTCGTATAGAACTCTTTGCCATAACATGTTTATGTTCCTAGGCTCTACAGCATAGATGTGGTCTATCTCGGATCCCCCTTTAATTTTTTCATTTTTTTTATTTTAATTTATCTTAAAAATTTCAAATGAAAGAAAATAATTTACATAAAATGAAAAAAAAATCTCATTCTCCTGAAGGCCGTTTCGTCCTTTTTTTTTTTTTTTTTTGGTTGTTGTTGTTACATAAATTGGTTTTCCCCAGTTCTTTAAATATTACAAGAATCTATTATGATACATGTAACTTACATTACAGTGAAATATCATGTGACACGCACGTAGCAACATTTCCCAATTTTAAGAGTAAGGTCAAAAAAGGGTTATGTAGTACATGTATATTAAAAGAGAAAAAAATGGTACTGAAAGAAGTTTTTTAAATCTTTTTTTCAGCTAGATTGAATTTTTTTCTCTGGTTACCCCCTCCTTTCAAAAACGATGCTACGTCAATGTATAACAATGCAATACTTTCATTTTGCATGGTTTTACTAAAGTACAATGTTAGATTTAGCTATTTTTATGAAACGTTTGATAAAAATCTCTTTTGAAATCAAATCATTTTGATGTTATGAATTTTTATAGAATTTAAATGTTCATTTTTTTTTTAATTACCACCACCAATTTCTACTGAAATACTAATTCCATCTTCAGATTTGAAGTTATTTTTATTTCATCTTAAAGTTATTGAAACAAGATTGCCACTTTTCCTAAATATTAGAATAAAACTATAATTTGTGAGAGTGCAAGGATGTGTCAATCAAACCCGTCTAAAATTTTGAAGTTTTAATAACTTTTAGATGAAATGAGATTTTAATATATTTTTGTGTGAAATGCTATTAATATATATAAGTCGTAATTTTATACAGAAAATATTAACTTCAAATCTGTGTCCATGCACCTTTACTATCTACGACACCTAACGTCTCTCTGTATCGATGTCCGTTTTTGGTTTTCATATTAATAACGGAGTACTACATTTACCGCTTTTTGGAAGATGATACTGCTGATTCAGTAATAAATACGCAAATTTGTGTAAGTTTTTTTTTTTATATATATATAATTGAATTCATTTAAAAAGAAAATGTGCCTGAGAAGTGTGAAGAGTTTTTGTGCGCCGACCAAAAAAAAAAAAAAAAAAAAAAAAAAAAAAAATCCGGGACCGACGGAGTCGGGAAGACTAGATTTACCGCTTGCACGTTTGTTAAGTTTTTTTCGTTTGTCATGTTTTCATGTACGTTTGTACTGCAAAGATGATCGTTGGTTTTGCATTCATATATGTTTGTTACGTACGTGGTCGTTGGTTTTGCTTTAATGTATATTTGTTCTGCGAAAATGTCTGTTGATTATGCATTGTATATCATTTGTTAAGTTTTTATGGTCATTGAAATTAAAATAATTGTTTGTTTTCTCATTATGGTAATTTTTGCCCTTTCCGCTGCCCATAGATGCTCTTATTCTAAATTTCATAAAACGATTTTTAATTTACAAAATAGAGACAGAGTGTTTCTGTGGAAGTCGAAGAGTGCAAAATTTACAAACTCGTGGAAAGGCATCTACACATTTTCAGAATAGATGGTTATTGTCCATTAGACACCAAAATTTCAATTACGAATTGAATTAGGATGGTCTCTGCATTTTATAATTCACGCCTAATAGATTTGTTTTTATTTTACAGTTGAAACAAAAATTCGCTTAGTGAACAACTTAAATGGGGACAAGGACCGTGGTACCATAGAAATAAATCACAATGGGGTCTATGGAACTGTTTGTGATGACGACTGGGATGATTTTGATGCCAAAGTTGTGTGTAGAATGTTGGGATATAGGTGAGGGGATAGTTAACAATAATTAGATTAACGGTTGTTAAGATATTAATACTCACCTGAGAGGTAGGGGAATCACTGAGTTCAGATTGTCAGTATCTAAATCATCAAGAAAGGTAAGGAATTTTTTAGTTTCTTCCACCCAGTTTGCGATTTTTATCAAAATTCATTACTTGAATATTTCCCCAGAATTTTTCCAAACACTGGATGTTGATGCATAAACTTACTGATCTATTCGTAATAATCATATTGTAGGAGTGGGGCCGCAGTTTCCAATGCCCGGTTTGGACAAGGAACTGGCCGTATTCATCTGGATGACGTGGCATGCAATGGTGATGAGAAATCTTTGGTAGATTGTGATCATCCTGGATGGGGCATCAATAACTGTGGACATAATGAGGATGCTGGTGTCATATGTTTTTCTAATGATGCCATTTCTACAGATGATATAAATGAACTCCCCTCAGGTGCATGTCTATAGTTATTTTTTTTTTTAAATTGGCTCTTTCTTGAGAAAGTTTTTTTTATTGCAAGATGAATGCTTGAAGTGTGATCAGGTTACATATTGTGATTGATTGATTGCTATTTAACATCCAATTCGAGAATTTGTTGTACATTTTAAAAAAGCTTATTGAATTGCAAGGTGTTCCCATTTGGTACAATAATATTTTTATACATACTAGTACAGTAATACTATAAGCAAAGCTTGTGGCTGAGTCCTGACAAAAGTATCTTGAAAACTGAAAACGAAATTTGCAATATATTCAAAATTACTATATCTCAATCCTTCTGGAAAGTTTGAAAGAATTTAATTAATTAGCTAGTGAGCAGCAAAGAAAATAAAATTTTATACTTTTAAGATTGTGGCAATCGTCCAGTAGAATCGGTGATTAACTCTAGACGAAGAAGAGACACAGGAGAGAGAACAGTTGAAGAATGGCGACCTCCACTGAAGATATTTAGTGGACTTAATGCCGACTATGGAATGTTTCCCTGGCAAGTGGCCATTCGGAAAATCATCTTCAAAACAAGAACCAGACAAATAGATGCCCAACACTGTGGAGGAACCATTCTCAGTCCATTCTGGATTCTTAGTGCTGCGCATTGCTTTGATGAGTTAGCTTTTATTTCTAAAGATAATGTCAACGTGTACATAATGGAAGATATTGCTTGTCTTTGAACTTAACTGAATATCTAACGTTTTATTAAAGTAGATAATATCATTGCAGTCCCTTTTCTTTAACTAAAGAGCAGATTTCATCCATGTTAGAATAAGTATACAAATTTTTAATGTATTATAGTGAGGTGAAATCAAGGTTGCTAGTTAGAGTTGGGGATCTGAACAACAAAGACCCAGATCCTTACGAAGAAGAATTTCAAATAGAGGAAATTTATATGCATGAGGAGTATGATGGTTAGTATGAAAATTGTGCCCTTCTGACTGTGTTCATCAATCAACAAATATGAATCATTTATTTTTAATGGATGTTTCCTTATCTTAAAATGTCTAGGATTGTTCAGAAGACAATAGTGTATTGTACTAGTTGTTTGTTATTGTAATTTCATAATATAATTTAATAATAAAATGTTATATCATATGACATTATAAAATATAATTATAAGTCTAATTTTATTCAATTAAGTTTAATTTAATTTCATTAATTTTCCTGCAGTTGACACCTATGACAATGACATTGCCTTGATAAAGGTGACCCCTAAAGATGGCCGTGGTATTACAATGGGTTTGTACATTCAGCCTGCCTGTTTGCCTACAGAAACCACAGAGTACGACGAAGATCTGGATTGTTATATATCTGGATGGGGGAAAACTGAATTGGGTTTGTTATGATACATGAAATTAAACATATATACATGTTCTGTACTGAATTACATCATGATACCCTTAAAATATGATAACATCAATCATTAGTTATTTGTTTTGTTTCTTTTTGTTTACAAAACTAATTTGGTGCAGTAAAGAATATTTGTTATATAGATGTTGTAAAAATGCTTCAACAGTATCAGAATGTATATGTTAATTCAATTTTTAAAATAAAATTACAGGATCACCAAATCTTCTAAAATACGCACAAATTCCCATTATACAACAAAAGAAATGCCGAAGACTTTACAAAGGTGCTTTGTCTGCCAGTATGTTCTGTGCAGGATACATAAAGGGTGGGGCGGACTCCTGTCAGGGTGACAGTGGGGGACCCCTGGTATGCAAAGTCAATGGTAAGTACTTATTTAACCTTAATAGAAGAATGACATTTTATGTAAGGCAATTTGTCTTAAAAGCAAGTTTTTATGTAATGTTTTAAAATATTTCTTTCAAGGTAAATATACTGCAATGGGTGCAACTTCTTGGGGAAGAGGCTGTGGGGATCCAAATTCACCAGGGGTGTATACCAATGTTAAAAGTCATCTACAGTGGATCAGAGAAAAACTTGCTGCATAATAACTTAAATGTGTATCTTTGGACCGCTGAAATTTTATTTTGCAATATTAGCACAGTTACCTCAGTGACTATTGATTGTAAATTCTGTAAAATTCCTCATGTTTTTTCCCATCATCTCAGGAAAGAAGTGTTAACTTTATCATGAATAAATGCACCTAATGAAAAGTAATAAGTAAAGTTTTCCCAGTTATTTGATGTTATGATTAAAGGTATACTGATGTAATTTTTATCACAGAATAAATCAGTCCTGTGTTACATATATATGCACTGTCAACATCAAATAAGTGTCTCCATATCTGCACAGTAGAAATGCCATTCATTATCATAAATGCTTAGCAAGATTTCAATAAACAAATCGATAATCAAAACTATAGTCAAGAAAATACATGCAGATGTAAGATGGTCATAACAACAGGAATTCAATGTACTACAAAAAAAACTAGTGCAATTTAGAAGGTCTCAGGAAATGTGGATGAATTTTATTAACATTTTACGTCTGTGATTTATGGCAAACACAGGCAAACCCTCAAACACACGCACAAGGGTATGTGTCAATGTAAGATTTTTAGCTTACCTCGACGCAGATGAGAGGAGCTTTACATCTGGCATTGACGTCCCGGTTAAAGTTTTAGGAGCAAATATATTCTTATGTAACTATTAGCCCTACCCGAACCAAGCTTGAATGGATGATGTATATCTAGGGATGGACACTTTCAGAGTTCCTTTGGATGTGGAACCTAACTTAAAATTTCCAGATTATTGATCAAATTAGAGTTTTTGAGCAGGTTCATCTTTAAGTAACGATAAGCCTTGCCTAGACCAAACTTGCAAGGATAATGCATCTAGGGATGGACACTACCATTCTTGCTTTAAAGACTGGCTTCGGATGATGGATCTGACCCATAATTTCTAGACGATTGACCAGGTAAAAGTTTTTGGAACAGGTCCATTCCCAAGTAAGGGACGTTATACACAAGGTAAGGGACTTCATACTTTTGAAACATATTTTTCACAAACTGCTGATAAATGGTATGATCGGCGTTAGGTCATTGTAGATCGTAGGATCGTCAGGAACGTAGAGAGACCGTAGTGGGAACGTAGAAAGAGCGTAGTGGGAGCGGTATAGAAGCGTGCTTGATAATTTCCCGACTGTACTGCGATCACGAAGATCTCTCCACGATGCTTCCGTGTTGCTTGTACGATGTCGGCGCTTCTACTACGCTCTTTTTTCCCGACTTTACCCCGATTCTTGTTGGCCATGATCCCGCATCGCTTGTTTAGAGCATGTTCAAAATAAGCGTGGCGAGAGAATTGAGCTATCCGATCACGAAGACCCTACCGCGATCATACTCACCCCTACTAATGTTATTGTGATTTAAATTCAAGACACGTGGTCTAGGTTTACCTATTCAAAGGTTATAGGGTAGAACCGGTTTTATAAATAAAATTGGCAGTAAACAGGAAATTGCTATAGTCTATTTTTCTGAAAACATGTCTTGTGAAAAATGTGTTTCCAGACCTTTCTGAAAGACTTTCATGATTTTCAACAGAAATGGGTGGCTAAAAAAAGGGGGTTAACAATTAATATATCTTACCATAATTTACTACAAAACTTACAGCTCAGCGACCGATACTTTTGGTAGAAAAATGTGTAAGATCATCTACACTGACAAACCTTTGTTTGCCTTATATGACTATTGCTATTAATGCGCACAGAGGAAATTAACGAGCAACTGACCAATTGTTGATTGAATACGTTTACAAAAAAAAATATATGTTTACATGTTATATTCGAAACGTAGTTCACGTCAATTTATGATCATGTCAATGGAGTGCAAAATAAAAAAAATGTTCTTATGAACAAAATGCAAACATTAGAAACTTTGAAAGATATCACGGGCGTTTTTAATTTGTTGTTAACTAGAAAAAAATATGTTTAATAAAATTAATAGTAGTTAATGTCAAGTTCAGAACACCACTTCAAGGGTAAGGAAAACGAGCAGCTTCTCGTATGTATTTAAATGGACAAAACATCTTTTACATAACTATACTCGTGATCACGTGTATTGGCCAGGGAATCCACCTGGCAATTGTATTCACCGATAGTACAATAAAGGAATTTATCAAGCGTAAAATTCCTGTAGTATTCGTAGTAACCCATAATGCAATTCTCATTCAGCTGATTTGTCAGTTAAAGTCACATTGGTGCCTCATTTGCTAATCTGACGCTACAAAATATAGTCCCAGTTCCCATGCAAAATATCTGTATAAAAAAATTTTAATTCATGTATGACAGCAGAAAATTGTATCATAGAGAATACTTATAATTTAAATTTGAATGAATTCAACAGAGATCGATTGAAGTACATTTCTTCAGAATTATATTGTAGGGTGGTGAAAACTAAAACGCAACATAACTTTTCTGTTTACCATGTCTCCACGTGCTAGTCACTTCCTAGCCACATTTCCTTGAATAATTTATCCTTTCTCGCTGTAGTCTCGCTTACTCTCGCCAGAGCCACTGCCAGAGCTACTCTGAACTCATCGGGTTTTATAAATTGCAGAACACCGAAAAAGAAAGGTTCCGAACACATTAGTAGGGGTGATACTGCGCTTATGAAGACTCCACTGTATTTCTCCTTCGATTTGTCACGATCGGACAGGTTTTAGGTCACACTTTGATCGTAGTAGAGGCGGCGGCTATGTGTGAACGGGGCTCAGAAAACAACTAATAACCATGGATATTTAAATGTTTTACTCTTTTGTAACGGAGAGTAATACTTTTAGACTAAAAAAGGGTGTTTATGTTAAGGATGGCGGTTTCAAGATGATTAGTATTAAAGAGTTTAACTTGTATGGATGAAAAATGTTATATTGCAAGAAAAAAAAAAATCATATTTAGCTTTATATTAAAAATAAATTACATGTGTAGTTTTTTGTGGAGAAAAATACATCCTCAAGAAAATTAAAGATGTGAAAAATATGTTTTGGAAATTTTTTTAGAGGCCTGGCTATTATTTTCTTAAAAAAAAAAACTACCAGAACCTATATGTCTCTATGGAACCACTCTTTTTTGATAAAATATTCCGATTGGCCAAAAAAAAAATTATAAGAAATGATTTGAAATATTTTTCGTAAATAATCTATTCAGAGAGGATGGTTCTTTTATGGAAGTAAATATGTTTATTTTGAAATATGGAATCAATACAACTTTTCTTGTTTTCTTGAGTTAAATGGACTTATAGCTGCTATTAGAGAATGGATGAAAACCAATAAAGTGAAAATTAAATAAATAAGCTCAATATTAACTCCTTTATACAATATATTTTTCTCAATGTCCCAAAAAAAATTTTTGCACTTGTGTAACTAGCTGGAATGGAATTTTAACTTAAATGATATTCAATGGGAGAACATTTTTTCTTTTCCTTCTAAGCTCACAAAAGATACAAAACTTCAGTGATTTCAATTTTGAATTAATCATAAAATATTAGCAACAAATTCCTTTTTACATAAAATTAAGAAAATAGGTTTATATGGTTGTTCTTTTTGTGAAACCCAGACAGAAACTACTGCACACATCTTTTGGGAAAGTGAAGTAATACAAGATTTATTGACCAGTTTTGATAATTACTGTTTAAGAAAGATTCATATTTATGTTGTATATTCAAAGAAAGAATTCATATTGGGATCATTTGCAAAATTAGAAAAAAAAACTCACCTTGAATGGACTGATATCCTCCATCAAATATATGTATGAAACATTTAAGTATATTGCAAATAAGAACAATAATAAGGTAACTTTTGACGAAGCCTTGAAACCCTGGAAGAATTTGTTTATGTAATTTTTATACCCTACGCAACAAGTTGCTTGAGGTTAAAATGTTTTGATTCCGTCAGTCAGTCAGTCCTGTTTTTTTTTTCTGCGCTACTCCTCATAAAACGCTGCACAGAATTTCATCAAACTTTGTAGATATGTAGGACACAATGTGAAGATGTGCATATTACCGGGAAATTCCGAATTCTTTATTTTTTCCGGAAATTTCGGCACTTTTCAACTTAATTTTTGGCCATACCTTGAATATAGAGATGAACAAGTTTGTCAGCGCAGCTTCTCATAAACTGCTGCACAGAATTTCATCAAACTTTGCAGATATTTAGGACACAATGTGTAGATGTGGATATTACCAGAAAATTCCGAATCCTTTATTTTTCTTGGAATTTTTGCACTTTTCAACTTTGATTTTTGGCCGTACCTTGAATATATAGGGATGAACAGATTGTCAGCGCAAATCTCATCTTAAACTGCTGCACAGAATTTCTTCAAACTTTGCAGATATTTAGGACACAATGTGTAGATGTGCATATTACCGGGAAATTTCGATTCCTTCATTTTTTCCGGGATTTTCAGCACTTTGAGTTCTGGGGGAGCGTGGGGTATGTGAGCTTGCTAACTTTTTCTTTCATTTTTTCTATATCACTATCCCTTCCCTCTCTTCTCTTTCTCTCTCTTGTTCTCTCTCTCTTTCATTCTCTCTCTCTCTTTCTCTCATAAAAAAATACAGAAAATGTATATATGTATGGTAAAACTATATGTATATGAATCTCTAAAGGACAAGATAGGGTAACGGCCAAATCTGGCCCCTTACTTGATTGTTTGTAGTTAAGAACTTGAAATGATGATGCTTGCTTTAAGACCAGCATTAATTTGGATTCAATGCTTACATTTAAGCTACTTAAATGTTTAGAAGTTAGACATTTTCCTGATTTTTTTCAACTCTGGTGGAATTTATTTATATTTGAGATACTTTTGTCTTTGGAAAACATTGAGCACAAGCTTGCCTATCTGAGATTTTTACACGTAAACTGCATTTGCTTCTAGTGTATAAAATATGTATATTTAGTAGATAGGCAACCTTGTGCTCCATGTTTTCCGAAACAAAATAAGCTGAAAAATCGATGAAAATTTGCATAAAAATGAGAAAATTCGAAAATTGACTTATTTTCTGACCTCTCTGAGACCTCTGTGTATTTCAAAGCTTAAATCGAATACTTATTTTGTGGCAAGTGACAACAGATTTTTATGGATAAACTGAATCATTCTGAAAGACAAAAATCAGGGAAAAAAAGGGGTCTTACCCTATCTTGTCTTTAAATAAAGGATTTTTAATTGTTTCTTTTTTCCAGGAATTTGTTCTATTCTTCATGTAAATTCTTCTAAAAGTCTGAATACATCCTTTCTGCTTACTGTCAGAATATCGT